AACACTTTTTTTATAATATTATCATCATCATCTCTCTCTCTCTCTTTCTACACACTAGCAAAAAGTTTACATCTGACCATTCCCAACTGCAGACCATGTTGTCAACATTGATTATACTGGTATGACACTTCCTCTGTGAATTGAGTGATGAGAGGGTTACCGTGAACATTATTATATATATATATATATATACATGTACCAGGAACTGATGCAGGAGTACTTGTGCCTGTTGTTATCGTGACAGGTGTTTGTGCAGTCGGCATGGCAACTGCATTAGTATGAAGTGGGAACCTTCCAAAGTTTGCTGCTGCAGTGACAATAGGCAAGCTGTTCTCTAAAAAAACAAACACGGTCATACAAACTACTTCATATGTATAGAAATATCATAGCTTCCACGTGGGAGCTCATCCAATATACATTTCTGCTCATATAATATTAATAACCGCGCAAATAGTGAACTACTGAATTTAGTTTCTACTGATAATAACACAAGTACAGATCTAGCCCGTCATTGCAATCTAAATACCTGAAGGAGTCGTTGCACTGGCAGCTTCAGCTAGCAGAGAGTGATAAGTAACCTCAGCCGGAACATAGAAATCTGCAAGCATGTCTGCCAGCTGGTTGTAGAAGTGTGTGTGATGCAGGAGTGCAAGCAGTGCTGGCAGACCCACCAAGGACACCTGCAAACACAATATCAACGAACCACTCTAACCTGTAGCAGATAACGCCTTATAATACCCACATTCTCAGAAACAATATAACTGAACTTTTATGACTACACAAAAAACACAACTGAATGTCAGCAACGGTTTGTAAATAGGCGAATCCCCTTTTTTGACACACATTAAGTACGGGTGACGATGTCACTCGGTTCATGTGCAAGATTCATCGGAACGTTGTTCAGATATCAGTAAGCATGCATTAGGTGAAAACACGCCTTACGCCAGATTCCTCATCCTTAACGATCGGTCCCAGCCAGGGAGGGTCAGTGTAGTCAGCAGATTCAGCTAAGGGCTGCGATGTGAGATTCACCAGCACCAAAGCCGCCTACATCCAAGCACAAACAAAGCAAAACTTTCACAATTGGGCTTATAGTCGAACCCATGGATTCTCACTATGTGATATAATGAACCTGTTTTACGCAGATGCACATGACAGCTTATTACAAATATTTTACTTACAACTAAGGAAATTTAATCAAAACAATGCTGCTTACTACACAATCGATCGATAATTCGTTACAAATACAGATTCATATATACAAAACCTAGTTAGGAATTGAGAGCACACTACACATCTTCACCCGAAAAATGCTCAGCTCAATGAAGCTTAATCACACCTGCTCTCGAACGATGCTGGCCTCTGAGTGGTCAAGTAGGTAGCTCAGTGTTGCTCCCCATAATCCTCCAGGAATATCAGGACAACTAGCCAGCATCACCTTCCTACCGTTAACACTCTGCGTAAGAGCTGCAACAATGGCTAGGCCGGCTGCTCGTACCTGGTGTAATGCAATTCCTTAATAGATTGACGATAAGGTACTTACGAAAAAAGCAAGCAGCTTGAGGTTCAAAAGGTTTGAGACACCCCTCGCTAATATGGTCAAACGTATCGCTGTTCCATTTCCTAACTGACCTATCTGTCTATGAATTAGATCACCGCTCCTTCGATATTGTTGATAAGTTGGTTAAGCTAGACCCGTTCATATACATTTTATGCAATGCACGCCGAATTAAAGACTTTGCGGCACTACATTACTAAGCAGCATTACTAAGCACTACATTACTAAGCAGCATTTTTAGAATGCGCATAATGCAATGATGATTGGCTAGAGCTTCCGGTCAATCAATCCAGGCAGGTAGGTCAAATAACATTATCACAAGCATATTGATCGTACAATCTTTACTACTATAGGTTATCTACTATGACCCAAGTTTTCAATCTATCTGATCTATTCATTCTATATGAATAAAATATTTTTCCTATATATACCAGAATAAGAATAATGAGTAGATGATAGGACATTATGCAATCAAAAAATGACAAAAGTATCAAAATCACAAGTTGATATGGTGATGAATAGGCTAATGTATAGGCTGATGTGGTGACAAGATGGGCTCTGATGACTGTAGACACGTTACCTCAGGATCCCTGTAGGCCCACAGTGGTACTACCCATGAAGAGCCGAGTCCTGTCTGCTTATCA